CGCTCCAAGTCCCTTGGGGAGATGGTGGCGGGGTATAAATAAAGTATTATTATTATTATTATTATTATTATTATTATTATTATTATTAGCAAAGGCTGGATGACCATCTGTCAGGAGGGATCAGATTGTGTTTTCCTGCCTGACAGGAGGAGGTTGGACTAGATGGCCTTTAGGAGTCCCTTCCAACTCTAGTAGAATATAGAGTCCATTGGAGTCTCCTTATCTGGAGGGTGATAAGCAAAGCCTGGGTGGCCATCTGTCTAGAGGGATCGGATTGTGTCTTCCTGCCTGACGAGAGGGGGTTGAACTGGATTTCCTTAAGGGGTCCCTTCCACCTCTAGTAGAATATAGAGTCCATTGGAGTCTCCTTCTCTGGAGAGTGATACACAAAGGCTGGATGGCCATCTGTCGGGAGGGATCAGATTGTGTTTTCCTGCCAGATGGGAGGAGGTTGGACTAGATGGCCTTTAGGGGCCCCTTCCAACTCTAGGTTTCGATTTCTTGTCCAGGTTTCTCACGTCTTCAAGGGCTATGGTCCCGGTGCTCGCTATGTCCATTTTCTGCACAAGACCAAAGACGTGGAAACAACGGACGGACTTCTCCGGACCAGAGTGACGGACAGCAGCGTTTCGGTGCAGTTGAAGGACTGAGCAAAGAGCATCATTGCACCTCATTTAAATTGTTTCGTTAAGTGCCTTAAAATGACATTTAGAACCCAATAGTGACCCTTGAGCTTGAAATCTGGATTAAAAGCAAGACACCAAACTGGAATTTTCCAGCCATATCTTTGTGTATGTGTGTGTTTGCAGGATCGATATGTGTGTGTATTGTGATCCCTTCCAACCAACCCTTCCCCTCTGCAAATTGAAAAACTAGAGCAAAATGTGCAATAGCAGGATGTCATGAAGTTTTTGCAGTTTGATAAACTTTTCCCATTTTTATGGGGGTGAAACGTCAGGAGAGAATGCTTCTGATACATGGACAGACAGAAAATTCACTACTCACATTTGTTTTTGAACTGCTAGATTGGCAGAAGCTGGAGCTGACAGTGGGAGCTCACCCTGCTCCCCAGTTTCGAACCTTTCACCTTTCAGTCAGTGGCCGGCATGACTGCATGGAGCACCCTTACCTTCCTATCAGAGCGGTATCTATTTATCTATTCACATTTGTATGTTTTCAAACTGCTAGGTTGGCAGAAGCTGGGGCTGACAACGGAAGCTCATGCCGCTTCCCGGATTCGAACCTGCGACCTTTTGGTCAGGAGCGCCATTACCTTCCCACCAGAGCGGTACCTATTGATCTACTCACATTTGCATGTTTTTGAACTGCTAGGTTGGCAGAAGCTGGGGCTGACAGCGGAAGCTCACCCTGCTCCCCGGATTTGAACCTGCCACCTTTCAGTCAGTGGCCAGCATGACTGCATGGAGTGTCCTTACCTTCCAACCGGAGCAGTACCTATTGAGCTACTCACATTTCCATGTTTTTGAACTGCCAGGTTGGCAGAAGCTGGGGCTGACAGTGGGAGCTCACCCTGCTCCCCGGATTTGAACCTACCACCTTTCAGTCAGTGGCTGGTATGATTGCATGGAGCAACCTTACCTGCCCATTGGAGCGGTATCTATTTATCCACATTTCCATATTTTCGAACTGCTAAGTTGGCAGAAGCTGGGGCTGACAGCGGGAGCTCACCCTGCTCCCCGGATTCGAACCTGCCACCTTTCAGTCAGTGGCCGGCATGACTGCATGGAGTGGAATCGATTCATCTATTCACATGTGGAATCGATTCATCTATTCACATTTGCATGTTTTCAAACTGTTAGGTTGGCAGAAGCTGGGACTAACAACGGGAGCTTACTCTGCTCCCTGGATTCGAACCTACCACCTTTCAGTCAGTGGCCGCCATTACTGCATGGAGCGCCCTTACCTTCCAGCCAAAGCAGTACCTATTGATCTACTCACATTTGCTACCTTCCTATTGGAGCGGTATCTATCCACATTTGCATGTTTTCGAACTGCTTGGTTGGCAGAAGCTGGGGCTGACAGCAGGAGCTCACGCCGCTCCCCGGATTTGAACCTGCTGCGACCTTTCGGTCAACAAGTTCAGCAGCTCAGCAGTTTAACCCACTGTGCCACCGGGGCTCCTGGTGTTGCATAGTGTTGTGTTGTGTTGCATAGTGTAATTAAAAGAGACGCCCCCATCATAACCAGCCAATATTTTTCTGCATAGAATATTCTGTTTTCCCAGTGCGGCATTTGCGCAGAACGAACACCAAACTGTATTGTTCTGCACAGAATATTCTGTTTTCCCAGTGCAGCATTTGCGCAGAACGAACCCCAAACTGTACTTATCTGCACAGAATATTCTGTTTTCCCAGTGCGGCATTTGCGCAGCACGAACCCCAAACTGTATTATTCTGCACAGAATATTCTGTTTTCCCAGTGCGGCATTTGCGCAGAACGAACACCAAACTGTATTTTTCTGCACAGAATATTCTGTTTTCCCGGTGCAGCGTTTGCGCAGCACGAACCCCAAACTGTACTTATCTGCACAGAATATTCTGTTTTCCCGGTGCAGCGTTTGCGCAGAACGAACCCCAAACTGTACTTATCTGCTCAGAATATTCTGTTTTCCCGGTGCAGCGTTTGCGCAGAACGAACCCCAAACTGTACTTATCTGCACAGAATATTCTGTTTTCCCGGTGCAGCGTTTGCGCAGCACGAACCCCAAACTGTATGATTCTGCACAGAATATTCTGTTTTCCCAGTGTGGCGTTTGCGCAGAACGAACCCCAAACTGCAAAATAAAACAAAGTGTCCCCACTGTTTCTACGTTTCCCTTCTTTCTTTGCATGAGAAAAGGGAGCAAACACCGACCTCCCGTCTTCCCAAAGCGCTTCCGACGGAGAAGAGTTGCTCCTTCCTGGCCCCGATCCAACCCCCCCCCCCCGCCCTCCCCTTCCCTTGCCAAATTTGGCAATGCCTCTGAGGAACTAGAAGCAAATTGAAAAGCGTTTTGCTTGGTGGGGATTATTGTATTCCGCTCTCGGGCTTGTTGCAAAAAAGCTCTTTCCAATTAAATGTTTACAAGCGGTGGGAGGAAAAAAAACAAAACTACCCCTTTGCCGACCGACCTTGAGCTACATACAAAACAGAGAGACACGTTTCCAAAGTCATGTTGCTTCACTTTTAATTACATTTAGCGGCTACAATAATAGCCGAGAATGGCGGAGGTGGAGAAAGGGGAGGTGAGTTTGCAAAGAGTATTTGAAGATAGAAGGCCCGTCCTCAAACAGCCCCAGAAGAGAGATGGAAGGAGGTCAAGACGGCTCAAAGCATTCAAGAAAGGTGGCCAGACTGGGCGCCTTCGGATGGGGAAAAATCCCCGTCCGATTGTGCATATTGTTTCCATTTGGGAGGAGAACAAACACACCCTTACTTGTATATTTTGGCAGTGATGCGTTCTGTTCTGCAGTGGGTACCGATGGATTCTTCACCGCTGAGAGAGACGAAAGATGTAGTTTTCCATCTGTATCGCACCATCTTGGAATGGATCTTACTCTCGAGAAAGACAGGCTTTCTGGAGAAGTTGAGAGAAAGGTTTCATGTTTGAGATGTTACAAGGTCTGGGTGCAAATCATGACAGTAGAGGAGGAAGAAGAAGAAGAGTAGTTGCTCTTGTTTCTGGGAAGACAGGAGAAGGGTTTGATGTTCAAGATGTTCTGGGTGCAACTCATGATGGATCCAAAGAAAGTCCCTCCTTGGTCGCCACATATTAGAAGTCTTAGTTATTTGTATATTGCACTGGGACAGACTTTGAAGAAGAGGAAAAGGAGGAAGAGTAGTAGTTGTAGTAGTTGTTGTTGTTGTTTCTGGGAAGACAGGAGAAGGGTTTGATGTTCAAGATGTTCTGGGTACAAATCATGATGGATCCAAAGAAGGTCCCTCCTTGGTCGCCACATATTAGAAGTCTTAGTTATTTGTATATTGCACTGGGACAGACTTTGAAGAAGATGAAAAGAAGGAAGAGTAGTAGTAGTTGTTGTTTCTGGGAATACAGGAGAAGGGTTTGATGTTCAAGATGTTCTGGGTGCAACTCATGGTGGATCCAAAGAAGGTTCCTGCTTGGTCACCGCACAATGGAAGCCTTAGTTATTTGTATATTGCAATGGACCAGACTTTGAAGAAGAGGAAAAGGAGGAAGAGTAGCTGTAGTAGTAGTAGCAGCAATTGTTGTTGTTGTTGTTTCTGGGAGGACAGGAGAAAGGTTTGATGTTCAAGACGTTCTGGGTGCAAATCATGATGGATCCAAGGAAGGTTCCTGCTTGGTCACCGCACAATGGAAGCCTTAGTTATTTGTATATTTCACTGGGCCAGACTTTGAAGAAAAGGAAAAGGAAGAAGAGTAGCTGTAGTAGTAGTAGTAGTAGTAGTAGTTTCTGGAAAGACAGGGGAAGGGCTTGATGTTCAAGATGTTCTGGGTGCAACTCATGATGGATCCAAAGAAGGTCCCTCCTTGGTCGCCACATATTAGAAGTCTTAGTTATTGGTATATTGCACTGGGCCAGACTTTGAAGAAGAGGAAAAGGAGGAAGAGTAGCTGTAGTAGTAGTAGTAGTAGTAGTAGGAGTAATAGTAATAGTAATAATAGTAGTAGTTGTTGTTTCTGGGAAGACAGGAGAAGGGTTTAATGTTCAAGATGTTCTGGGTGCAAATTGTGATGGATCCAAAGAAGGTCCCTCCTTGGTCGCCACATATTAGAAGTCTTAGTTATTTGCATATTGCACTGGGTCAGACTTTGAAGAAGAGGAAAAGGAGGAAGAGTAGTAGTAGTAGTAGTAGTAGTTGTTGTTGTTGTTGTTTCTGGGAAGACAGGAGAAGGGTTTGATGTTCAAGATGTTCTGGGTGCAAATTGTGATGGATCCAAAGAAGGTCCCTCCTTGGTCGCCACATATTAGAAGTCTTAGTTATTTGCATATTGCACTGGGTCAGACTTTGAAGAAGAGGAAAAGAAGGAAGAGTAGTAGTAGTAGTAGTAGTTGTTGTTGTTTCTGGGAAGACAAGAGAAGGGTTTGATGTTCAAGATGTTCTGGGTGCAAATTGTGATGGATCCAAAGAAGGTCCCTCCTTGGTCGCCACATATTAGAAGTCTTAGTTATTTGCATATTGCACTGGGTCAGACTTTGAAGAAGAGGAAAAGGAGGAAGAGTAGTAGTAGTAGTTGTTGTTGTTTCTGGGAAGACAGGAGAAGGGTTTGATGTTCAAGATGTTCTGGGTACAAATCATGATGGATCCAAAGAAGGTCCCTCATTGGTCGCCACATATTAGAAGTCTTAGTTATTTGTATATTGCACTGGGCCAGACTTTGAAGAAGAGGAAAAGGAGGAAGAGTAGTAGTTGTAGTAGTAGTTGTTGTTGTTTCTGGGAAGACAGGAGAAGGGTTTGATGTTCAAGATGTTCTGGGTGCAACTCATGATGGATCCAAAGAAGGTCCCTCCTTGGTCGCCACATATTAGAAGTCTTAGTTATTTGTATATTGCACTGGGACAGACTTTGAAGAAGAGGAAAAGGAGGAAGAGTAGCTGTAGTAGTAGTAGTAGTAGTTTCTGGGAATTCAGGAGAAGGGTTTGATGTTCAAGATGTTCTGGGTGCAAATCATGATGGATCCAAGGAAGGTCCCTCCTTGGTTGCCACATATTGGAAGCCTTAGTTATTTGTGTATTTCACTGGGCCAGACTTTGAGAAGAGGAAGAGGAGGAAGAGTTGTTGTTGTTTCTGGGAAGACATGAGAAGGGTTTGATGTTCAGGATGTTCTGGGTGCAAATCATGATGGATCCAAAAAAGGTCCCTTCTTGGTTGCCATGCAATGGAAGCCTTAGTTATTTGTGTATTGCAATGGGCCAGACTTAGAGTTGTTGTTGTTGTTCCTGGGAAGACAAAAGAAGGGTTTGATGTTTGAGACGTTACAGGGTCTGGGTGTGGCTCATGATGGATCCAAGGAAGGTCCCTTCTTGGTGGCCGCACAATAAAAGTTGTTGTCATTTCTGGGAAGATGAGTTTAATATTTGAGACATTGCTGGGTCTGGGCGGCAAGGCTTCAACAATCTAAGCAAAGTCTCTTCTTTGGTTCTGCAAGAGAAAAGCTGTGGTTATCCATCTGTATCTTACAACAGGCTTGGCTTTGAAGAAGATCTTACCATCTTGGAATGGACCAGACTCTGGAGAAAGAGGAGACTCTGGGAAGAGCTTTCCATGAGATAATGGTTGAATGTTCAAGATGTTGCAGGTTCTGGATGCAACTCATGATGGATCCAAGCAAGGTCCCTTCTTGGTTGCCACACAATGGAAGCCTTAAGTTATTTGTATATTGCAATGGGCCAGACTTAGAAGATGAGTTGTTGTTGTCGTTTCTAGGAAGACAAGAAAAAGGGTTGATGTTTGAAATATTACAGGGTCTGGTGCGACTCATGATGGATCCAAGGAAGGTCCCTTCTTGGTTGCCACACAACAGAAGCCATTGTTATTTGTATATTGCAATGGGCCAGACTTTGAAGAAGAAGAAGAGTTGTCGTTTCTGGCAAGATGAGAAAAGTGTTTAATATTTGAGACATTTCAAATTCTGGGTGGCAAGGCTTCATCGATCCAAACAAAGTCTCTTCTTGGTTTCTGCAAGAGGAAAGCTGTGGTTATCCATCTGTATCTTGCATCAGGCCTGGCTTTGGAGAAGAAGATCTCACCATCTTGGAATGGACCAGACTCTGGAGAAAGAGGAGACTCTGGGAAGAGCTTTCTATGAGAGAAGGGTTGAATGTTCAAGCTGTTGCAGGATCTGGGTGCAAATCATGGTGGATCCAAGGAAGGTCCCTTCATGGTTGCCACACAATGGAAGCCATTGTTATTTGTATATTGCAATGGGCCAGACTTTGAAGAAGAAGAGTTGTTGTTGTTGTTTCTGGGAAGATGAGATAAGAGTTCAATATTTGAGACATTTCAGGGTCTAGGTGGCAAAGCTTCATCGATCCAAACAAAGTCACTTCTTGGTTTCTGCGAGAGGAAAGCCATGGTTATCTAACCATATCTTGCAACAGGCCTGGCTTTGGAGAAGAAGATCTCACCATCTTGGAATGGACCACACTCTGGAGAAAGAGGAGATTCTGGGAAGAGCTTTCCATGAGGTTTAATGTTCACGATGTTGCAGGCTCTGGGTGCAAATCATGGTGGATCCAAAGAAGGTCCCTTTGTGGTTTCCAAAAGACGAAAGCCATGGTTATCCATCTACATGTTGCAATGAGTCAGATTATAAAGCAGAAGAGATTCTAGGAAGGAGCTTTCTGCGGAAGATGAGATGTTGAGATGTTGCAGGATCTGGGTGCAAATCATAGCCTGAGGTATGATGGATGCAAGCAAAGTTTCTTCTTGGTGGCTTCAAGCTGAAAGCAATCTATATCTTGCAAAGACTGTGAAGAAAAAGAGGGCATTTGGAGAAGGCGCTTTCTGGACAAGCTGAGAGAAGGATTCAATATCTCACCATCTTGGAATGGACCAGACATTAGAGACATTGCAAGGTCTGGATGAAAATCATGGTGGATCCAAGCAAGGTCTCTTCTTGGTTGCTTCAAGCTGAAAACCATAGGTACCAATACAGCAATGAGCCAGACTTCAAGAGTATTTGGAGAAGGAGCTTTCTGGACAAGAGGAGAGAAGTTTGCAATGTTATTGGGTTGGGGTCATGGTGTCCTACCTGATCCAAGCATGGTCTCTTCTTGATGAGACCTGGCACCATTCTGGGCCCCCACTTTAGCTGCAGGTGCAGTAATAGGCAGAAATGGCGTTGTTCCAGTCTCCAAAGATGCCCCGTCGGTACTCCTGGAGCCGTGGGAAGGCTCCGGTCTTGAACTTGCGTGTCTTGCCGCCTTTGGCCTTGGAGGACCAGACGTTGAGCTCGCAGCGCTGGGCCACCACTAAGGAGGAGACCTTGTTGTTGAAGGCGGAGGGCATGTATGGCTGGTCCTCACCAGGCTGGACCTCCAAGACGCTGCCGGCGCAGCACTGGTCGTAGTAGGGGCTGTTCTCGGTGTAGAGGAGGGCGCAGGCTTTGGTGCCGTCTTCCCGCTTCAGGTCAGCCGGAGCCGGGCACTGTGCCCAGCCCAGGGCAAAGAGGATGGGCAAGAGGAAGAGTGTGGCTGAGACCTTCATCTTGATATCTATAACCCAATGGAAATAGTTGGGCTCCAGGGGATGGGAGGTGTCTTTATATAGAGCTCTTGGCAAGGCCTTCAACGGCCAAGGTTGGCCAATGGAACACGGGGCCAATGCCAAGGTTTGGGCGAAGATAAGGGTGTGAATGATGCCAGTTGCAGGAGGGCACGGAGTCTGCTCAATCAATAATTGGATCCATAAGAACATGTTGTTTCTTCCCCATTTTGAGGTCAAGGATGGAGAACATGCAGACGGTGGGCTGTTTGCAGCACCAAGACCACTGGCATTTCTCTCTCTCTCTCACACACACACACTTATACAAATATATCCACACACATATACATACACACATATACACACATTACACACACAGATATACATACATACACATATATATATATATATATAAACACATACACAAATACATACATATATACATATACACATATTATACAGACACATATATACACACATGTTATATATATACATAGTACATACACATGTATACACATACACACATATATAGATATATGTATATATACATATTAAATATACATATACATACATATACATTATATACATAGTACATACATATACATGTACACACACATATATGTATACTTATATATTTATATCCACACACATATACATGCACACACACATATGCATACACGCATGGCACATATACATACGTATACACACATATACATATATGCATATGTTATATACTTAGGTAAAGGTAAAGGTAGTCCCCTGACATTAAGTCCAGTCGTGTCCGACTCTGGGGTGTGGTGCTCATCTCCATTTCTAAGCCGAAGAGCCAGCGTTGTCCGTAGACACCTCCAAGGTCATGTGGCCGGCATGACTGCATGGAGCGCCGTTACCTTCCCGCCGGAGCGGTACCTATTGCTCTACTCACATTTGCATGTTTTCGAACTGCTAGGTTGGCAGATACATATATATACACATATACACACACATTATATACATACATAGTACATACACATGTATACACATACAAACATATATAGATATATGTATATACATATATGTATTATATATACATATACATACATATACATTATATACAGACATAGTACACACATATACATGTACACACATGTACACACACATATGTGTATACTTATATATGTATATCCACACACATATACATGCACACACACATATACATACACACATTACACATATACATACATATATACACATATACACATATATGTATCAATTTACACAGTTTTAATCCCACAAACGAACACTACATTTTTATTTATGTAGATTATTTATTTATATTTACGACCTTTCTGCCCCATCTTTCTCACCCTGGAGGGGGCTCAAGGCGGCTTTCCATACAGGCAACAATTCAATGCCTTAAAACACAATGTATACTTAAATAAATATTACAATATAATTAAAAAATACATTAAAAGCAATTTTAAAAATTAAAACCAATACATTCAGAGTTAAACACGTAATCCATGAGCGTAATCTGAACTGTTCCAAGGGTCATTGCACATTTATCTCCCCAACTGCTCCAGTATTTATATATATATACATACATATCTAATCTTGGAACATTTGGCCTTTCGCTCCATTAAGTTGTATTGTTTACTCCATCTGCCTCTTCCCAGGCATCCAGGTGCGGCCTTCCTTCCATGGAAAAGTAAAGCGGGTGCGTCTACACAGCAGAATTAATGCAGTTTGGCACACTTGAACTGCAATACCTCCAGGTTAGGGGATCCTGGGATTTGTAGTTCTGCAAAGTCTCCTCTTGCACAAACTACAACTCTTGGGAGTCCATAGCATGGAGCCATGGTATATCCAAGTGGTACTAAACTACATCAATTCTGCAGTGTAGAGGCACCGGACAGCCCCTCTTATTTTCTCCTGGGAGCTGTAGTTCAACAAGATCTCAATGCATGGGATTTGTAGTTTTGCAAAGTCTCCTCTTGCACAAAAAGTGCAAAACCCTACCTACAACTTTTGGGATGCCATAATATGGAACCATGGGATATCCAAATGGTGCCAAACTGCATTAATTATACAGTGTAGATGCACCTGACAGCATCTCCTCTTTTCGCCTGGGAGCTGTAGTTCAACAAGATCTCAATGCATGGGGTTTGTAGTTTTGCAAAGTCTCCTCTTGCACAAAAAGTGCAAAAACCTACAACTTTTGGAATCCCATAACATGGAGCCATGGCATATCCAAGTGGTACTAAACTGCATTAATTATGCAGTGCAGAGGCACCGGACAGCATTTTCTCTTTTCTCCTGGGAGTTGTAGTTCAACAAGATCTTAATGCAATCATATAGTATTCGATGGTTTGTTGCAATAAGGGGAGGGTGCATCTGCAATGCAGAATTAATGCAGTTTGGCACCACTTGAAGTGCTATAGCTCCAGGCTAGGGGATCCTGGGATTTGTAGTTTTGCAAAGTCTCCTCTTGCACAAAAATGCAAAAAAACTACAACTTTTGGGATGCCATAACATGGAACCATGGGATAACCAAGTAGTACTAAAGTGCATTAATTCTGCACCAGACAGCATTTCCTCTTTTCTCTTGGGAGTTCAACAAAATCTTAATGCCATAGTACAGTATTGGATGGCTTGTTGCAATAAGGAGAGGGTGCATCTGCACTGCAGAATTAATCCAGTTCTAAACTGCCATTGGCTTCCTTACTATGGGAGATCCAGAGATATAGTAATAATAATAATAATAATAATAATAATATATTATTATTATTATTATTATTAATAATAATAATATAATAATACTTTATTTGTACCCCGCTACCATCTCCCCAAGGGTCTCGGTGCTGCTTACATGAGGCTGAAACTATCTTTCAGCTTTGGACTACAACTCCCACTATCCTGCAAAAGGGATTCTGCAAAGCATTGCTCCAAAACAGTATTCCCCTAGCTGGAACACCCGCGCATGCGCAGAAAGAGCGGCTCTAGGGTGTAGTCAGTGCAGTTTTCTTTCAGCGGGAACACCCGCGCATGCGCCGAAAGAGCGGCTAAAGGCTGTAGTGCAGTATTCCCGGGCCTAGCTGGAACATCTGCGCATGCGCAGAAAGAGAGGCTCAAGGCTGTAGTCAGTGCAGTATTCCCCTAGCTGGAACACCCGCGCATGCGCAGAAAGAGCGGCCAAGGCTGTACTGTGGCGAATCCCCGCCCCCTTGCTCGTGATTGGCTCTTCTCTTTTTCCATTCTCCGCCCCTTTTCCCATTTTTTGCGTCATTCGATAAACCTTCCCAGTTCTGACTCTTCTCTAAATTTGCATGCGTCACCCAGAATCCTTTGCGGGGCGCCGGTCGATGCGAAATGGAGAGAAAAAAAGGACAAATATTTCGAAAATGTTATTTTTAAGCGCATAGCTACTGATAATGTCGTTTAATGAATCATTACAAATGCTGTCGGTTTCCCGATTGGGTAGATGAATGCGGTCGCTGTGACGTGGAAGAGACCCCGTCGCCAAGGCGTGGGCCCTGCGCGAGAGAGTGGGTAGCTTTGCGCAGTGGCAGTATCGTAGCCAATGAGGTTAATCCGAGGCGCGATTATTGCTAATTGAAAACTTTTCCCAATACCCCGCCATGACGACTTGAAATATAGTCGGCAATGGCAATTTTTGACAGTCTCTACGGAGACTGAATACTCTCGGTGACAAAAATAGAGGAGACAACACTATAGCTAAGGAGCAGCACTCTCTCCTGACGTTTCGCCTACTTATGACAGGTGTTTTCAGAGGTTGTAAAGCCTGTTGGGAACTAGGAAGATTGGGTTTGTGTATCTGGATTGATGTCTAGGGTTTGAGAAAGGACTCTTGTATAAGACGGCCTTGGTTAGCACTGAATGGCCTTGCAGCATCAAAGCCTGGCTGCATTCTGCTTAGGGGAGGGGATCCGTTGTTGGGAGGGGTTACCTGGTCCTCGTTGTTTCCTGTCTGGAATTCCCCAGCTAACACTTCCCACAAATAGAATCCCACCCCTTCCTGGCAGGAAGCAGCCAGGCTTTGAAGCTGCAAGGCCATTCTCCCAGCTAACACTAATAATAATAATAGTAATAGTAATAATAATAATAATGTTGTTCATTAGTTCAGTCGTCTCCGACTCTTCGTGACCTCATAGACCAGCCCACGCCAGAGCTCCCTGTCGGCCGTCACCACCCCCAGCTCCTTCAAGGTCAGTCCAGTCGCTTAAAGGATGCCGTCCATCCATCTTGCCCTTGGTCGGCCCCTCTTCCTTTTGCCTTCCACTTTCCCCAGCATCCCTCAGCTAACACCTCCCAACAACAGATCCCCCCAGGCAGGAAGCAGCCAGGCTTTGAAGCTGCAAGGCCATTCCCCCAGCTAACACTTCCCAACAACAGATTCCCCTCCCCCAGGCAGGAAGCAGCCAAGCTTTGAAGATGCAAGGCCATTCCCCCAGCTAACACCTCCCAACAACAGATTCCCCTCCCCCAGGCAGGAAGCAGCCAAGCTTTGAAGATGCAAGGCCATTCCCCCAGCTAACACCTCCCAACAACAGATTCCCCTCCCCCAGGCAGGAAGCAGCCAAGCTTTGAAGATGCAAGGCCATTCCCCCAGCTAACACCTCCCAACAACAGATTCCCCTCCCCCAGGCAGGAAGCAGCCAAGCTTTGAAGATGCAAGGCCATTCCCCCAGCTAACACCTCCCAACAACAGATTCCCCTCCCCCAGGCAGGAAGCAGCCAAGCTTTGAAGATGCAAGGCCATTCCCCCAGCTAACACCTCCCAACAACAGATTCCCCTCCCCCAGGCAGGAAGCAGCCAAGCTTTGAAGATGCAAGGCCATTCCCCCAGCTAACACCTCCCAACAACAGATTCCCCTCCCCCAGGCAGGAAGCAGCCAGGCTTTGAAGCTGCAAGGCCATTCCCCCAGCTAACACCTCCCAACAACAGATCCCCCCCCAGGCAGGAAGCAGCCAGGCTTTGAAGCTGCAAGGCCATTCCCCCAGCTAACACTTCCCAACAACAGATTCCCCTCCCCCAGGCAGGAAGCAGCCAAGCTTTGAAGATGCAAGGCCATTCCCCCAGCTAACACCTCCCAACAACAGATTCCCCTCCCCCAGGCAGGAAGCAGCCAAGCTTTGAAGATGCAAGGCCATTCCCCCAGCTAACACCTCCCAACAACAGATTCCCCTCCCCCAGGCAGGAAGCAGCCAGGCTTTGAAGCTGCAAGGCCATTCCCCCAGCTAACACTTCCCAACAACAGATTCCCCTCCCCCAGGCAGGAAGCAGCCAAGCTTTGAAGATGCAAGGCCATTCCCCCAGCTAACACTTCCCAACAACAGATTCCCCTCCCCCAGGCAGGAAGCAGCCAAGCTTTGAAGATGCAAGGCCATTCCCCCAGCTAAAACCTCCCAACAACAGATTCCCCTCCCCCAGGCAGGAAGCAGCCAAGTTTTGAAGCTGCAAGGCCATTCCCCCAGCTAACACTTCCCAACAGACAAACAGTTCTTTCTCCCACCCTGGACATCATTGCCTAGTTTCCAACAGACCTCACAACCAATATTGTTATTGCATCGTGTTGTTATTACTCCCATTGTTGAAAGCTGCCTCCGCACTGCAGAATTAATGCAGTTTGGCATCACTTTGATTGCAACAGCTCAATGCTATGGCACCCTGGGACGCTTAGTATTATCCTGGCCCTGATTTAGTTGTTTTCTCAACCCAAGAGCCATTGCAGCCATAAGAAATGTGAAAAACCACATAAAACTATAACTCCCAAGAGCCATTTCAACCATAAGAAATGCATGCAAGAAGATGGACTCCAATTGTCTGCAACGCAAGACCTTCCTTTGTTTGTTTGCGCATTGATTACACAAAAAGAAAGCCTCGTTTTCTCGCTCTTTCCAGTCCAGAGGCTTTTTGGAACGGCTTGAAACAGCCATAACATCCATTAGAGGAAACAAAAGCCATTAAGGAGAAGCAAAAGCGGAACGGCTGTGCGGCATAAAAGCCCAAAACAAGGCCTTTAAAAGCCTCCGAAAAATGGTCTTAACAATTATTTTCTGTTGCTTGAAATTGGCATGCCTTTGCATTCTCCTGAACTAGTAGGAAAAAAATCCTTTGCATTCCCACTTACTCAGCGGCCTTTAAAATGTCCCGGTTTCTTTCTCTCCCTCCTCCTTTGTCCTCAGCTTCGTTCAATTGCTGCAAAATGAGTTCAAAAGCAAGCCTAATCTCTGTGCCTTTTAATCGTTTGCATTCCCACTTACTCAACGGCCTTTAAAATGTCCCGGTTTCGTTTTCTCCCTCCTCCTTTGTCCTCAGCTTCCTTCAATTGCTGCAAAATGAGTTCAAAAGCAGGCCTAATCTCTGTGCCTTTTAATCGTTTGCATTCCCACTTACTCAGCGGCCTTTAAAATGTCCTGGTTTCTTTCTCTCCCTCCTCCTTTGTCCTCAGCTTCCTTCAATTGCTGCAAAATGAGTTCAAAAGCAAGCCTAATCTCTGTGCCTTTTAATCGTTTGCATTCCCACTTACTCAACGGCCTTTAAAATGTCCCGGTTTCTTTTTCTCCCTCCTCCTTCGTCCTCAGCTTCCTTCAATTGCTGCAAAATGAGTTCAAAAGCAAGCCGCATCTCTGTGCCTTTTAATCATTTGCATTCCCACTTACTCAATGGCCTTTAAAATGTCCTGGTTTCTTTTTCTCCCTCCTCCTTCGTCCTCAGCTTCCTTCAATTGCTGCAAAATGAGTTCAAAAGCAAGCCGCATCTCTGTGTCTTTTAATCGTTTGCATTCCCACTTACTAACCAGCCTTTAAAATGTCCAGGTTTCTTTCTCTTCCTCCTCCTTCGTCCTCAGTTTCCTTCAATTGCTGCAAAATGAGTTCAAAAGCAAGCCTCATCTCTGTGCCTTTTAATCGTTTGCATTCCCACTTACTCAATGGCCTTTAAAATGTCCCGGTTCCTTTCTCTCCCTCCTCTTTTGTCCTCAGCTTCCTTCAATTGCTGCAAAATGAGTTCAAAAGCAAGCGTCATCTCTGTGACTTTTAATTGTTTATGACTTCATCTCATTCTGGTGGAACGAATATAGTTTGGCTCCTCTTTTAACTGCCCACAGCTCCATGCTATGGAGATCCTGGGAGATGTAGTTTTGCATTCCCACTTACTCAATGGCCTTTAAAATGTCCCGGTTTCTTTCTCTTCCTCCTCCTTCATCCTCAGCTTCCTTCAATTGCTGCAAAATGAGTTCAAAAGCAAGCCTCATCTCTGTTTCTTTTAGTTGTTCTATGGCTTCATCTCATTCTGGTGAAACAAATACAGTTTGGCCCCTCTTTTAACTGCCCATAGCTCCATGCTATGGAAATCCTGGGAGATGTAGTTTTGCATTCCCACTTACTCAACAGCCTTTAAAATGTCCCGGTTTCTTTCTCTTCCTCCTCCTTTGTCCTCAGCTTCCTTCAATTGCTGCAAAATGAGTTCCAAAGCAAGCCTCATCTCTGTGCCTTTTAATCGTTCTATGGCTTGGCCTCTCTTTTAACTGCCCACAGCTCCATGTTATGGAAATCCTGGGAGATGTAGTTTTGCATTCCCACTTACTCAACGGCCTTTAAAATGTCCCGGTTTCTTTCTCTCCCTCCTCCTTTGTCCTCAGCTTCCTTCAATTGCTGCAAAATGAGTTCAAAAGCAAGCCTCATCTCTGTGCCTTTTAATTATTATATGGCTTGGCCTCTCTTTTACCTCTCCATAGCTCCATGCTATGGAGACCCTGGGAGATGTAGTTTTGCTTTCCCACTTTCTCAATGTCCTTTAAAATGTCCTGGTTTCTCTCTCGTCCTCCTCCTTTGTCCTCAGCTTCCTTCAATTGCTGCAAAATGAGTTCAAAAGCAAGCCTCATCTCTGTGCCTTTTCATCGTTCTATGGCTTGGCCTCTCTTTTAACTGCCCACAGCTCCATGCTATGGAAATCCTGGGAGATGTAGTTTTACTAAGGGTGCATCTTCCACTGTAGAATGAATGCAGTTTGGCGCCACTTCCGACTGCTCAAGGCTAAGTGGTATGGGAATCCTGCAAATTATAGTTAGCACTCTTTGGCAGAGAAGGCGAAAAACCACATAAAACTATAACTCCCAGGGTTTTCTATAGCAGTTAAAGAGCAATCGAACTGCATCCATTCCACAGTGTAGACGCACCCTGAGTTGCACCTTGTCTCGAGAGGCAGGTAAAAATAATTATAATAGTAATACAGTTATTGACACAATTATAGATCTTATTATTGATACAATTATAGACACTTATTGATTCCATTATTGATAGATATCATTTAATACCATTTATCATACCATTTTTGAAACCATTAATGATACAATTTTAGATCTCATTATTGATACAATTATATTGGTAATGTTATTGATACCATTACTGATACCGTTAGATACCATTAATATTACTGATAGCATTATTGATACCATTGTAAATGCTGACTAATCAATACTATTATTGATATAATTAATCATACAATTATTGGAACCATTATAGATACGTTTATTGATACCACTATTGATACCATTATACTGGTAATGTTATTGATACCATTATTGATGCTGTCAGATACCATTAAACATTATTAAT